TCCTCCAACAAGGCCACACCTCCTCCAACAAGGCCACACCTCCTCCAACAAGGCCACACCTCCTCCAACAAGGCCACACCTACTCCAACAAGGCCACACACTCTAATAGTGCCACTCCTTTTGGGGGCCATTTTTACTCAAATCACCATGGCACCCAAGTACCTTATGCCCTCAAACACCTGTGGTGATTCCTGGGGAATCTCCTCCCAGTCAGGTTAATTTATTGTAGGTTTTTCTTAAATCTCTGTCCTTTAAGTTGAAGGTGCTCACCAGGTCCTTGGTAAAGAATAATTTGGGAAAAATAAGTTATATACTAAGATATTTGAACCAAATACATCCAGTAGATCCAGAATGTAGTATTCCCAGTAGAGATAAGAGAAACTGATTGATGTGGGCGATGGAAGCCTGGGGAGAACTATTCAAGAGAATTAAGGAGAAATCAAAGCCCAGCAAACGTGTGTGTGTGCGTGTGTGTGTGTGTGTGTGTGTGTGTGTGTGTGTCTGTGTGTCTGTGCATGTGCATGTGCATACGTCCATGCGTGGGTGCACGTGTGCCACATGAGTGGGCCTCAGGAGTGGGCCTCAGGTTTTCTTCTTCAGAATCCACTCATCCGTTATCAGACAGGGGCCCTCCCTGGCCTGGGGCTCAGTCAGTTGGCTTGGTAGACTTGCCTGCCAGCCCCAAGATCCACCTGTCTCTGCCTCCCCACACTAGGATTAAACGTGTAGGCCAGCGTAGCAGGGTTTTTCTGGGGACACGGGGACCTCGGATCCTCACTTTGGTGAGGGAATCACGTCACTGACTAAGCCTTCTTCCCAGCCTGGTTACCTTTTCTTTATTGACTTTTCTCTATAGTCAGGATTCAAAATGGTTTCAATTTGAGGGAGGAAAAAAAATGTGTTCATTCTTTGTCATCTGTCTCAGAAAACACGAGAGATGCCCTGTGTTCTAGTTTCATTTGGTCGTGATAAAACACCGTGACTAAAGCAACTTGAGGGAGAAAAGTATTTATTTGGTTTATACTTCCAGGTCACTGTCGGCCATTAGAGTCAGGGCAGGAACTTGAAGCAGAAACCAGGGAGGAGGGCAGCTCACTCCAGCTGGTGCTTATCTAGCTTTTTAAAAACTATTTTTAAGATTATAATCTAATTACAGCATTTCCCCCTTCCCTTTCCTCCCTTCAAACCTTCCCACACACCCCTCCTTATTCTCTTCCAAATCCATAGCCTCTTTTTCATTAATTATTGATAGTCACATATGTATATACATACATATTCCCAAACACATAAACGCAACCTGCTCAGTCTGCATAATGTTACTTGTATGTAGGTTAGCCAGCTTTTTATACAACCCAGCATCAACCACCAAGGGAATGGTGCTGCCTTCAGTGAGCTGAACCCTCCTCCATCAATTAGCAATTAAGGTAACCCCCTACGGGCATGCCCACAGGCCAATCTGATCTAGGCAAGTCCTTAGTTGAGGCTTCCTTCTCAGATCCCTCTAAGATGTGTCAAGTTGACAATTAAAGCTAATTAGGGCATCATGGTTCCCATAAATCAACAGATAGTCCTAGAATACTTAAAACAAACCCACCCTTCTCACTGTATACCCTGGCTGGCCTTGAACCAGCCAACCCTCTTGAACTAGCCTCCTAGGTGCTGGGATTACTTGCCTGCATCATCAGGCTTGGCTTATGGAGAGAGAGAGTTAGAAATCAAAGAGATGTTTCCTCAGACACTTGTTAAGGACTTAAAGAGGACAAAGGTCTGGAACTTCGAGACCACATTCTAGGGAGAAGCAGCCTCAGGCGGACAAAGACCTGAGTTTTCCTCTAGGGGAAGCAGAGGCAGGAGATTGACCGGAGACATTGCTGCCGCCACCCTTGGGCCTGGTCAGAGGATAGCTCTCAGAAGACCCAATATACTTCAGAAAGCATTTGTCATACCTCCAAGGATGTCTGGAAATGTCTGGAAATGCCTGGGAGCCCTGGAAGCCAGAAAGATGTAAGACCTGAAAGGGTGGGAAGGGTGGGGGGGTGGGAGGAGCATCAGGTTATACTGCGCACACTGTAGGTGTGACTAATAAGGGAAACAATGATATAAATATAACCTAGGGGCCAATGATGAGAGTGAAGGGCGGAGCTTCGAGGCCCTCTTCAGGTGCAGGGGATGATGATGAGCCCTTGTGGTTGTACCGAAGAGCAGTACCCTGAACGGTGAGGCTGCATATATCTCCACAGCTTGTGGGTCTGGGAACAATTTGTTCATTGTGCTCAGTGAAATATGCTTGCTCACTCATGTCTCTCTTCACTACTGATCTCTAGTCCTCAAAGCTTGCTGTCCGTGTTTGTGGACACGTTCTGACCAATAAGGCTATCAAAGCTCTTGTATGGCACAAAAGTGATGGAGGACAGGGAACTAGCGTTTACAGAGCATCATCTATGTCTCAGGACATCTCTGCATGTGTCATATCATTTGATCCTGGTATCAGCACTGAAGAATGCCAGGGAGAGACTGCACAAATTCAAGCTGGGAGGTCAGGGCATGATGGATCTGGGAAGAACTACCTTGTCTTAAAGTTATCTTAAAGAGATAAATGTGTCCTGGTCTCGTAAGACCAGATGGAAACCTCGGATAACTGAATAATAAAACCGACAGAACCAGCTTCCCTCTGTGCTGTTTTTGAAGAGTAATTAGTCACTGCCTTAGTTTAAGCCTGTTGCTGTGATAAAATACCCTGACCAAAATTAACATAAGTGAGAAAGAACTCATTTTGTCTTACAGTTCCCAAGAGATGCAGTCTCTCATGGCAGGAAAGACATGGCAACGGGCAGGGGATGCATGCCGCTGGAAGCGGGAAACTGGCTGGTCCCACTACAGCCGAACTCAGAAAGCAGAAAGCGAACAGGAAGTAGGGCCGTCTACAAACCCTTAAAGGCCCACCGCCAGTGAGGCTCTACCTCCTGAAGGGCCCCAACCTTCCCAAACAGCAGTAACCAGTTGGGGACCAAGTGTCCAGTCATGTGAGGCTATGGGAGACATTTCTCATTCACACCACAACAGACATGGACATGAACAGAAAGGAAATGCAGAAGCGAAGACCTGTGTACCAACTAGGTACTACCAAAGGGAAAAGCCAAAGAATCCATGTCTCATTGGCCATGCAACTCTGCTTGAAAGAAATGCAGCCAGAGACGATGATCTGAGGCTCTGGAATAGTTGGCTCATCTCACTCCACGCTCCTTATTCACTTTCTGATTCTGATGTGCCTCCAGGGTGGGCCTTCTTTAAGGTAGAGAATCCAGAGTAAACAAATAAATTGGCATCCCAGTGAGAAATCGCCTTTTTCTGAGGTCTGCCTCAGAGAGGCAGGGAAGGTATTGATTGGCTCTGTTAACATGAGTTACCTGACTCACAGGAGTACTGTCTCCCTTTTTAAAATAATAAACTCGAAGAGTTTATGCATCACGGTAGAAAATGGAGTTACAGGAAGTCTGGCCTTCAGCAATGTCTGGTCTCTGGCTACTACCCAAGTTAGCTGGTTAAACTCACCGTGATGAGGACCTGGGTAGTCTTTTATTGTTTTAATCATGGAAAGTTTGTATATTAATGTCATCTTATGAAGTCTTTTAGGATGTGTTGGTAGCTTCCAAGTGGTCACAAGTGTGAATCTCTATGTCATTGTCCCGGGTTTTGTTTTTTGTTTTTGTTTTTTACTTGATAACATTGAGTCCAGTGGAACTAAAACTGGTCAGGTTTACACAGGTGAGGGTTGAGTTTGGATCAATCTGATTCTAAGCCTGTGTTCTTTGGTGTACGTTGGGTAAGGCGCCTAACAGTTCACAAAAATGTCCACAGTGTTTAAATCACCCGAATGGGATGACATCGACCTGTGCGGCCTTACACTTACCTGACCAGGGCTATGAGGGGGCCTGCAGCTGTGTCCAGGATGAGAGGCCCCCGGAAGGACAACAGGATCTAAGGGCTACCGTGATAGGTTCTTCTCTCAGCACATACAGTAAGACTGTAGACTAAGAGGGAACTCCCAAAGGAAAATAGGAGAGGAGATACTCTAAAGAACTGCAAGAGCCACATAAAAATTTAGGAGTTTCTGCCTACAGAGCAGTTTGTAAGCCAAGTAAGTAGAAAAGAAGATTATCTTTGTGTCAAAACTCCTTGAAGCATCTCCAAATAGTCCCATGGCTGCTCTCAGAGCCCAACCCTGAGGCCTTCTGGTCTTTGCTAAACTTGCCCCTGCCTCCTATGAAAAAGCCTGCTTCACCTTCCATACCAAAGCTCCTGGTTCTCAGTGCTGACCCCTGCTGGCCAGTCCCTGACAGGAGGTGAATGTTAGATTTGGTATCCAGCATCATTTTATCAGGCATAAGAGGCTCTCATGTACAAGCAAAGCCTCCTAGCCATTAGCATTTACATGATTTACAGGAACCACCCAAAGTTCCTAGGGATGAGAGTGCCTGCATACTGACTTAGTACACTTTCCACTGGGAGTAGGGCAGGCCAGGGATCCTGGCAATATCTTCAGGCATCATTGTAATATTATTTTGAAGGATGCTGCCTTCAAAACTGTCCCTGGTGCGGAACAGGAAGATTGGGCTATGCCTAAACCCTCCAGAGAAAAGTCCTGGATACATCATCATGGGATGTTTCCCTGCCCCCCGGGCCCATGCTTTCCTACATTCCTCTTCCCAATGGAAAAATAAAGACAGATTTCACTGATTAGCTTCCTAAATGAAAATCTATAGCCAGGTAAGCTTGGTGCTCCTTCAATTTACAGGTTTTTCAAATCATCATTTCCTTGAGAAGTCTGTGTTATAATTTATTCTTGCTAAGTTAAATGTAGTAGTGGACTATTGCCTGATGATGTAGATTGGCGATGCTCACAAAGGGTGGTGTGGAGTTTGCTGTATTTTATGTCCTCTTTGCCTTATGTCCAAAAAATTCTCTTTAGACATTCAATGTCTCTAAATTAAGGTACTTAAAAAATGCCCCAAGGCATTTGTATTATATTTAGGACATCATAAAAAGTTGGCCAGTGTGGTTATTAGTTGGCTGGCTCTGAAATGTGCAGGAAAACTGCACATTTTCTTCATGTGTAAGCAGCAACAATATACGCTTCATCTCCTCACTGGGCTCAGAACCAGACTCTTCATGTATTATTCAGGTGTCATTTCATCTCAGAGAGATTAATACATAGAAATCCTTATGTGAAAATGAAGATATTATGTCCCAAGAAATACCAGCTAGACAACTGTAGTCAAAATTGCCTATAAAACCTCTTCCTGTAGTAAATAATGGGCCCATTATTTAATCTTGCATGTAAATTTAATTTTCATAAATTCTTCTTAATACCTTTCAATTCTAATATTCCCAAGCAGAATTCTATAAGCCATCCAGTGGGGGAAATGCTGCCTTGGAAAGTCAACAAGCAATTGACGTTTGATACTTAATCTTCTGAGCTGAAAATGACTTTTTGGCTGCATTATAATTCTACTAGCATCATAAACTCTTAAAGCATTGACCACTGTCACCAAACTGCATGCTGCTCACCTGCTTCTGGGCCCGAGTTAGAACTGAAAGAAGGGTCAGCGCTGTGCCAGAGATGGGCACTGGATCACAATAAAACTAATATTCTAAAAACTCTAATTCCAGGGATCCAAGGGTGCTCTTCTTCCATGCTGCAGTACGTGAATTATGAAAAAAGAATCAAACTATGCCTTTCTTAGCATGGTTCTTTCGTGACTAGAAGACACGAGTGTGGACCGGGAGATTAGCTGGTTAAACCTAGACAGCACACCGCAGTGGCCGTCACTGGGGAAACAAACAGGCCCTGCCATTTTGGGGGTACCTCTCATAATCTAAACAACACGCCATGTTTTAAAAGTAATCACTGTCCCTAGCATAATCATTTATTTGCTATTTGGACATAAATGCTTCTTAATTGCATTCGTATTTATATAAACAGCAACCTGAAGACGGGGCAATTCAGGCGTGTTTCCAATAGCCCACAGTACCTGTTCCTATGACTCCAATTCTGTCCTCCGACAGGAAGAACGTGCTGTTTTCGCCGGGTCTGGAAACAGGTGTGCAGAGAGCCGGCGGCAGCAGCAGCAGCAGCAGCAGCAGCAGGAAAGGAGCCCTACTCCATAGCCGTCCTGCTGAGGCAGAGCTAAGACCCACTCCTTTCCATCCTTGCCGCCGGGTTGCGCAGGCCAATGGAGTCGGGTTACTTTTCATTTGTTACTTTATCAGCCAATTGGTTATCCCTCTGGAAAACGTAACAAAGGATGAATAAAACATACATGACCATACAGTCTGCTATTACAGAGCATCGTGACACCGAACCTACGCAGCATCCACCCTTCATCGGCTGGTGCGCTGCTCGGCCAGCTCTACCGTGGAGCCGCCCTGGGCTTCCCTTGGGCTCCCTTCACCTGCGGAGTGGCTCCCTTCAGATCGCATTGTCTTTTTTGTTCTAAGGCTAGTTAACCAGTTGAGCTAAAATTACTGGGAAATAGTAAAGGGGCATTTTAATGGCTTACTATATTGATACAACTCTTCCCATAGTTTCACAGTCATTTGATCTTTAAACAATCGCAAACGCTCACACGAGAAAGTCATGTGAGAAAACAGCTCCAGCGATGGCTGGTAAGAACATACTGATGGCAGACTCAGGTGGCGTGGCTCCCGGCCTAAAGGTGGTCTCTCCTCCCTAGCAGGACAGGAAGGCCTGAAGCCATTCCATAGCTCCGTGCAGAACACTCCGCCTCTAGAGGGCGTTTGGATTTTAGACAGCAAAGAACAACCTCACTCATCCTCATTTCCAGTCAGAGTTTGGGAAGCAACCCATCACAGAGACACGGGAGGCAGGGCACACCCCTAAAGAGATTTAAGAGCTGAGTGCTCAGATTCCAGCATCACTTCAGCCTAAGGACAGTGTCCTTTAAAGAAATGAAAATATTTGCCGTGTTGACAAGGGTGGATAGCTTTAAAAAAAACTACAGCCGCTGTTCCAAATTCAACTTAACACCAGACAGTTCAGTAACATTCAATATTTTTCACACTTATTTTTCTTACGTCATTAATATTTTAGTATTGCGTAATTCATTAGCTTTAAAAGTGTATTGTAAAACTCTTGGGTAAAATGGAACTGTAGCTATGCTTAAGCAACAAAGCATTTTTTTAAACAACAAAAAATAATAGAATAAAGTAGAAATTGTAGGTTCTTACTGACTTGTTCTCTCAAACTAGTCACCTGCTGGGTCCAGGCACAGGACTGGGTGCTAGAAAAATACTGATTTTAAAAAAGGACGCAGACTTTGGGGGTGTGGGGCTCAAGAGTCACAGACTTCCAGAAGGGACGGTATTCAAGCCATTCAAGGAAGCATAAAAGTGGGTTTTGGGGTAGATGCTGCCAGGTCATGTAAAGCAGTAGACAGATCTGGCCATGCCTCCCTGGACAAAAACAACCACATAGATCAGAAAAGAGCCTCATGAAGCCATTGCTGGTATATACCAAACGGGAGGATGAAGTAAAAGGGGCTTCTTCCTTTATATATGTATGTGTATTACATATGTATACCCTCATGCGTAAGATGCTATTACACACCTATACATAGAGGGTTTCTGAGCACACACCACGGAAAAGGAAAGCCAGAGCCTGCTGAGACTTCACTGAAGGGAAGAGTTTCAGGTGATATTAGTAAAAGGGAGAATCGATGGACGGCACATAGGCAACGGATCTGAAAGCATTAAACTAGAGGCGTTGTGAGGTGAATGGTTCACACATTTAAAAAGGAGGACTTAGAAAAGCCAGGGTGGAAGGTTGAAATGAACCACATTGGTGGCCAGAGGAGTGTGAAATGTTAATTGTCATGGTTTGAATCCAAAATGTCCCATGGGTTCATGCTTGAATACTTGTCCTCAGCTGGCAGTGCCATTTGGGAGATTCTGGAAACTTCAGGAGGCCGGGATAGCTGGCGGAAGTGGGCCGCTGTGGACAAGCCTTTGAAGGTTGTACCCAGTCCTGGTTCCTACCCCGTTCTCCTCCCTGGCCTGCCACGCCGTGAACAGGCTCTCTGTTACGCTCTCTTGCTGCCACAGACTAAGTGGCTCCCCTCCCCTCCCCGCCATGATTGACTGAAACCCGATTCAAAGTAAACCTTCCCAGTTGTCTCTGTGAGGTACTTTGGTCAGATACAAAAATAAACGAATACACTAATTTCCCCCCTGTGTTCTACTGAAGTAGTCTTCACTGTCCCCTTAGAGGCTCTTAGAGCCTTTAAGACATCATTCTCAACTAAAACGTATGGTTAGGATTATGTGAAGAAATACCTGATCTACCAGGACAGAATCTGTGGTGCTGTTCATCAGACAAAGTCCTTGAATGCTCAACGAAACGGTGAATGTGGGAGCACCTGGTCTCTCATTTGAATTCCTATCTAAGGAGGCTCACCCAGCACTCACGCTGAACAAGGCTGTGCGGTGACACAGAGCTCTAACGACATCTTCACACAAAGGCTTCCTAACAGCGTGGGTAAAGGCAATGTTGCTGTCCCTGTTACAGTCTGTGTCACCTCCAGACATCACTGCTATGGTGTGAGTATGAAGTGCCCCCCACAGTCCCGTGTGCTGAGTCTCCAGGTGGTTATGTTATTTTGAGAGGTGGCCTAGCTAGAAGTAGGTCACTGGAGATGTGGCTGTAAAGGTCACACGTGATCCCGCAGTTCCTTCCCCTCTGCGGGTTGCCTGTCTACCATGAGGTGAACAACTTCCTCCTCCACATAATGCTGCTTCCACAATGTCCTGCCAAAGTACAAGGAGTCAGAAAACCACGGACAGAAACCCCCAAGACCATGAGCAGAAATAAACCTTTTGTTAGGTGTGGCTCAGAAATGACAAGTCTGACAAGCAGCAGCTGTTTAGGTATGATTATTAATTATTATCACCATCATCACTATTATTATCGTCATCACTATCATCATCATAATCATTACTATTATTTGTAGAACTCAGGCCACCTTGTTTTCTTTGTTGTTGCTGCTGTTCAGCTGGTTTGGGTTTGGGGTTTGGTTTGGTCTACAGGGCTGGGGATGGCACCTAGGACCTCAGATACGCCAGACAAACACTTTGTTACTGGGTTACATATCCAGTCTCACACCAGTTTCAAAGAGAGCGACAGTCTGGTCAGAATTCACTGTGTTTAATGAAACTGGAAAGGGAACTTCCCGGGTTTGCTTCTTAGGTCCTGTCAAATGAAGATGCCACTGTGTCTCAGCCAGAACTACATAACGACCCGGCCGCTCTGTAGAACCCAGTTCTATATGTCATAGGAGAGCAAACAGTTTAGTTCCCAGAGTGTTTTGTTATTCTTATAAGTTTTTTTTTAACTTTTTTTTCTTGATAATTTTATCTACAAAGCCCACCAGCCTGGTTTCAAAGCTGAGGCCCATTGTTTCCCACCTGGAGATGTTGAAAAATACTAATATAATTTTAAAGTTACAAGGGGGCTGAGATTTTAATTTGGCCAAATCTACAAATATGTAGAAAGTACTGAAACTTAGAAGGTGAAAGAGGAAGAACTAGACCAGAATGCTCAAGAATGGCAGGCACCGAGTCTAAGAGTGTTCATGCCTAGGACCACACAAACTAACCCAAAGCCAAATCCTGCACCATGGTTGGGCTGGAGGCATTTTTAAAGAGGTCCCCAGGTGGTTCTAGGGAGCTGCCCAGTTGAGAGCTGCTGTTGACCCCACGTCAGAGAGAGCAGACTCAGAGAGCTCTTCAGTCAAGTAATGTGGAAAACACCTGCTAGCCGGGCGCCCTCTGGAAGATGTTTCCACAGCTCAGGTTTCCTAAGGAACCGTCTGCTGAAGATAATGACATCCATGTGATTAAACACAAAGTCAAATTTGGCTTCATAGAATTTAACCCAAGCTCCAGTATCTAAAAAATAATAGTCCTGTTTTCTTAGATTTCCAGCAAGTCACTCTCTTTAAGTGTCTCCTCTGTAAAAGAGGAATAGCAGTGGGCTCTTTAATACCTCCCAAGACTATTGTAAACTGTCGACTACAAAATGTCAACAATTACACTGAGGACTTTTATAGCCCATTGCTATAATGGGGTTAGTTTGGACTGATTAGGAAATTGTGTGTGTGTGTGTGTGTGTGTGTGTGTGTGTGTGTGTGTGTGTGTGTGTGTGCGAGCTTGTGTGTGCTTCTTATGGTTTTTTTAAATTCTAGTTTGGGTTTTTGTTTGTCTGTTTTCTAAAGAGAGGGAGAGAAAAGCATGGGGTTGGGTAAGTGAAATGGTGGGGAGGATCTGGAAGGAGTTGGGAGAGGGGAAACTGTGATCAGAATATATTGTATGAAAAAGTTTTCAAAAGTAATAATAATGTCAGGTATAGTGGTGACAGCCTTTAATCCCAGCACTCGGGAAACAGGCAGGTGTACCTCCTGCAAGGTGAAGACTAGCCTGGTCTAAACAGTGAGTTCCAGGGACAACCAGGACTATGTAGAGAGACCTTGTCTCAAGAAAAAGAGAAGGAGGAGGAGGAGGAGGAACACAAGGGGAGGGGGAAGAGCAGCAGCAGTTGGAACTGGGGAGGGTGGTTATTGTTTTCTTCCCTCCCCACATCAGAACCTAGTACACTAGAGGTGTTTTAAGAGTTTGAACATGAAGTCCTGACAGACTGCATCCCAAGCCTATAATGCACCACTAAGTTGAATGACTTATACAACAAGTGGAAACTGCTTTCTCTTCTGTCACGTGAGGCACTTTACCCAGTGAGACAAAGATGGTTGCCATGACAACGGCGGTAATGATAAGGTGGTGGTAACAGTGCTGGAGATTTGAGTAGCTGGCAGTAACAAGGCTATCTCACTTAAGTACTAAAATCGTATAAACAGTGAAAAAATAGAGAATTTCTTATTCTTAAAATTCAGTGCTGTCTCAATAGATCACAGTGTTATTGCTTTCATGATCATATGGCAAAGACTCTGACTGAACTTCAGTCAGCCTTTTCCATCTAGAACTACAGCCTAGTCTCTGTGCCTGGCCTGGACCACATGATTTGAGGGTGAGTCATGAGGACTCAGGTTATTCTTACTTTTTATTACATTGATTTGTTTACTTTGTGTGGGTGGGCAGTCACATGCCATGTGTGACAACTTTCAGGAGCAGGTTCTCCCTTTCCACCACAGGGGGCTTCCAGGGTTGGACTCAAGTTCTGAGGCTTGGCAGCAGGCGCCTTCACCCACTGACCCATCT